GTTGAAAAAAATAAAGAGACTTATAAAAAAAATCTTGTGAAATTTCAAGATTCGCATAAAAGTAGACAGTTTCCAATGTTAGAAATATCTTTTCAAGAATATTCCAAAATGCCATTAAAAAGTGATATTGTTAGCAGGTTTAAGTATTTGTCTAGTACTGATGTGAAAGCCAAAAAGCAAAGGATAGATCTTATTTCAGAAGAAGTTATAAGTTTGTGGAAAGAACAATTAAATTTCCCATGTCTGACAGAGCAGTCAGTGAAGCGAAAGATTAATGATGTTATAGAAAAATATGAAAGTCTCAGAAAAAAAGGGAATGCCGACCTTCTGCAAAAAGAGATTTTTGATATAACAAATCAAAATGGCATTTGGTTATCATCTGAAGATAAAAGATTTTATGAAATTCAGTTACAAAGCAAAGGAGAAATTGGATATGCTACTTCAAAGCTGGCAGGAAAGAAGACTATTCACCCATCAATTGTGCAAAAACTTTCCAGCCAACCTTCAGCATCTAAAAGTTTTTCTTCATTTACTGAAAGTAGTAAAATAGAAAGAGACAACTCTAGTTCCGAATTTGAAGAAACTGATGAACAATTTGAGATAGATAATGAAATTACAGATGAAGAATATAATAATTTGAAGAAAAGACGTAAAAAATATAGTAGTTGTAAAATAGCAACAAAGTTAGTGGTTTGTGCTAAGGTATCAACTAAGAAAGCTTCTAAAATAGGTAAAATACTGTCCTCAGAAGGCATACATTTTCCAGCGCCATCACAGTCTGGAATATACAAGGCTCTTTTTAATGAAGCAAAACAATTTAAAGAAACTTTAATTCAAGATTTAAAGAATGAGAATTGGAGTCTACACTTCGATGGAAAGCATATAGACCAATGGGAGTATCAGGTTGTCGTTCTTAAAAATGAAAGAAGCAAAATAAAGTTGGGCGCACTGAAGTTAATAGATGGAAAATCTATCCCTATTATTAATGCCATACTGATATTATAGATGAATTTAAACTATGGAATTCAATTAAAATGATTGTGACAGATACTACAAATGTCAATACCAGAAAGAAAAATGGTGTTGTTGTAAAACTTCAGGACATTTTTCAAAAAAAAGGATTACAAAAACCTCAATTTGTACCATGTCAACATCATATCTTGGATAGAATACTTAGACAAGAAATGGAAGAAAAAATGGGAGTAAATCCGAACTCACCAAACATTAATTACTTTTTTACTAACGAGTTGTTAGAACATTATGAAACACTGAAGACAAATTTTTATAATGGTACAGAAGAAATAAAAGACACAGGAGGATGGCGAGATGACATGAAGTTTCTGTTTCATCTGACAAGAACCTACCGATACTATGACCAAAATAAAATATTTTCTAATGTAAGATTTCAAAAAATCCCTAATATCAGTAATTTTCGGTGGAGTTCAAGAGCTATTTTAGCGTTGTTAGCCTACATTCTTATGCCAAAAACAAGAAACAAACTTGAATCTGTATGTACCTTTATTTCTTAAAAGTGGGCAGACTTTTGGTTTGACAACCAAACCTATAAAGAAAACACTTATTCAGACCTTCATGAAGTTTTATTAAACAAAAAGAAACCTCTTGCTACATTTACAAGTCATTGGAATCCAGAACCATCAGCAATCAACATTCCCAGAAGTAATCAATGTGCTGAAAGAGCAATTAAAGTAATGGAGGAGCTTTATAGATTGTGCAGAAATAAAGACAATCTTCCACTTCGTTTCATTTTGTCTAATAAACAATAACTGTATGTAATTAAATTGTATAAAATGTTTTTTCCTGCATTGAATTTAACACTATGCCATGTATTAATTGTTAGAATAAATTATGTTTTTTTATAGAATCATATGAATGAACATGTTTGCAAATAGAAATGATTTTGGTCATTAATTTTTTTAAAACCTTTTTAAATCTTAATGTGCTTTGGGGCGTGACATTTTTTTTGAACATCGTGAAAGTATTAATATTTTCGCATTTTATGCGTAAAAACTCATCCATTTTTGGGCCAGGGAAATTTTTTTTAAAAAAGTCATATCCCTAATATATATATATATATATATATATATATATATATATATATATATATATATATATATATATATATATATATATATATATATATATATATATATATATATATATATACATATATATATATATATATATATATATATATATATATATATATATATATATATATATATATATATATATATATATATATATATATATATATTACTTACTAAATATAATATAATATATTATATAGACAATAACTATTCGATAATAAAATATATCCATTTAATAAAGGTATTTATTTCAATTTTAATTCAAATATTAGCAAATCTTTTCATTAAACTTTTACTAAAGGTTAATAATTTTCTGAGTGCTTTAACCTCTTCTATTAAGGATACCTTATTCCATTAAAAAGATAATTACTTAATGATAAAAAAGTATATTATTTTGATAGAAAAAATATATTATATTTTTTAATCATCAAGTATAATAAAAATAATTATGTTTAATAAGTTACATTTACAATGGACTTTTTTTAAACATTAAAGACATTGAAGTTTAAAAATAACTAAATCCTAATAAACTTCATTAAGTTATTATAATTGTTTGTGTTATTGTTATTAAGTTGAAAAGAATATGGAAAAGAAACAAAACTTTCTGAAAAAAGTTTAAGCTTTTAAAGTTTTTAAAATACTCCATAGAATTTCATTTATACCACACAATATCTTTTTTAGTTTCATATGTAGAACATTTATATTTATATTAAACAATGTGTTTGAAAAATAAAAATAAAAAAATTAACTTTTTTTTTGAGAAAATAATGTCTAATTCAAGCATGGACATCATCTTGTGTTGAAAACTTTTCAGTGACGCAAATACTTTTCTTAACTGTTTGTTTATTTTAAAATACTGAGGACTTGAAAGGTTTATAAGGCCTTGCTTGTCTAAATAAAAGGCTCCTAATGACCTAAAAAGAAGATAACAAACTCTATTGTAATGCTAGCTTTTAGTTTTCCCAATTTAACTATATGGGGAGTTATAAGATATTTTGGGCTATAACTTTATCAATGAGAAAAAAAAATGAAAATTACTATTCAATACCCAGAAAATAAAGATAATCCATTTTAAATAGAAAAATTTTTGAAAATAAATTTTTAATCAGTATCTGAAATTTTTGATTAAAAGTATTCCTGATATTTTTAGGTATTCTAATTGCATATGACAAAATTATACAATCCAGTTTGACAAAAAATCATCACTGTTCTGGCTGCTTAGAATAGGCAACCAATATTCATTCTTATCTCTTTTCTTTGACAGTTTGGGGCTTGTGAATTTTAACTCAAACAAAATTCAGCTATTTACTGCTTATTTACAATAGTCACAATGCTGTTGATATTTCTATATTGATAAATGTCAACAGGTTTACTAAGTCCTCTGCTTTATGTATTTTTTAATTGAATAAATGGGTTTTTTTTCATAGAAACAATAAATTGAATATATTGCAAAAGTAACATCTGCTAAGGTTGCCTTTCTTTATCGCGCTCACCATTTCTTTTAACCAGATTCTGTTCTCTATCTCTAAAAACCTTATACTTATTTCTGTATTAAATACAATTGTCATATATGGGAAGGTCAAAAAATATATTGTAAATGTAGTTAGACCTGTTTTAGCTGCTAAGCTTCTATTTCATTGAAATTTTATTAATTTTGATTGAAAGTTGCATTATTTTACTCTATTTTTCTCTACATGCTTTAATTATTATTATTCATCTAATTTTTTTTCTTATGTATAAACTATATATAAATTAGTATAGAAAACCATATATCACAATAATGTTTTAACCTAGTAAAATATACCTTTTTTATTATTAATGAAACTGTATTTATTGATACGCTAACTATATTTTGCACTATTTTCACTCATTATGGCAAATATTATCTTGATATTAAGTTATGTTTAATTATCATACCTCTTACCCTACCCTACCTCCGATTGAAACTCTAAAATACAGTCTTTATATTTTGAAATACAATTATAAAATTTATATTTATATTTATTTATATATATATATATATATATATATATATATATATATATATATATATATATATATATATATATATAAATATATATATATATATATATATATATATATATATATATATTATATATATATATATATATAATATATATATATATTATATATATTATATAACATTTATTTATATATATATATATATATATATATATATATATATATATATATATATATATATATATATATATATACATATATATATATATATATAACATTTATATATATATATATATATATATATATATATATATATATATATATATATATAAATATATATATATAGCATTAATATATATATATATATATATATATATATATATATATATATATATATATATATATATATATATATATATATATATATATATATTACAAATGTTTAAAAAATTAGAAAAAAATAGAAAAAAAAATTTAATTGTAAAGGTGGTGGCTTCGCATTTCCTGGATATGCCTAGCGGCTTCGCATTACCTGGATATGCCTAGAAGCTGATAAGTATTTGTAACCCGCTCTCATAATACATATAAATTTACATAATAATTTATTTAAATATTTAAAACATTAATGTTATTGATGTTTTAGTTGTTGCTGGTATTGTTTTTGTTATCGTAACTTTTATTTTTATTATTTTTGAAACTATTAAAATTTTTAATTATCATTACTTTATTGTAATATATTATTATTTTTATCATTATAATTTGTATTTGTGTGTTTTATAAAGGCATATTTTAGATAAATACTACTTTGAAAAAAAAAAAGATTATATAAATTGACTATTTTTTTTTTTTTTAAATTAGATAAAATCAATTGAAAAAAAAAAATTAAACTTAAAAAAAAAAAAAACTTACAGGTTTTATTATTCTTGTATTAAACCATGATTAAAAACATATAATTTTTACATAAATTTTAAAGAAAAAATATTTAACCGCCATTTTTAAAACTACAACAACAATCGTGATGATATTATGCACTTATCGCTTGAATAAACGTAAAAAATAAACACAATTTTCAGATCGAAGTCGCAAACGAACCACCCAGTATTTCTAACTAGTAACTACGCAGTATTTCTTTTAAATAATTTGTTTTAGAGCAAACATTGCCGTTTAAAGGATTCTATGTATTGGTGCAAAAGAGTTGGTTAATAATTACTTGAATGTAGCTAAATTTTTAGCCTGTAACAAAATTAAATACAATCAAAAAGCAGTGTATGCAAGTGCGCAAGTTTAGAAGATACGGTTTGAACGCTTGCTTAAGAGAGAGCGTAATTAATCCAGACGTCTATTTCACGACGGTCATGATGCAATGACGTCTACTATGATAATATATTATATTACTATTATATATATATATATATATATATATATATATATATATATATATATATATATATATATATATATATATATATATATATATATATATATATATATATATATATATATATATATATATTATTATATTATCATATTATTATATATATATTATTATATATATATATATATATGTGTGTGTGTGTGTGTGTGTGTGTGTGTTTGTGTGTGTCTGTGTGCGTGTGTGTGTTTGTGTGTGGGGGGGGGGGGTGTATGTGTGGGTGTATATACATATATATACAGGGGCGTATGGAGCGTGGGGATCCAGATCAGTTTCCCCCGCGCATCACATTTATGGGGCATTGTTAGATAATATATATATATATATATATATATATATATATATATATATATATATATATATATATATATATATATATATATATATATATATATATATATATATATATATATATATATATACTCATATATAATATATATATATATATATATATATATATATATATATATATATATATATATATATATATATATATATATATTATTATATTATCATATTATTATATATATATTATTATATATATATATATATGTGTGTGTGTGTGTGTGTTTGTGTGTGTCTGTGTGCGTGTGTGTGTTTGTGTGTGTGTGTGTGGGGGGGGGTGTATGTGGGGGTGTATGTGTGGGTGTATATACATATATATACAGGGGCGTATGGAGCGTGGGGATCCAGATCAGTTTCCCCCGCGCATCACATTTATGGGGCATTGTTAGATATATATATATATATATATATATATATATATATATATATATATATATATATATATTATTATATTATCATATTATTATATATATATTATTATTATATATATATATATATGTGTGTGTGTGTGTGTTTGTGTGTGTCTGTGTGCGTGTGTGTGTTTGTGTGTGTGTGTGTGGGGGGTGTATGTGTGGGTGTATATACATATATATACAGGGGCGTATGGAGCGTGGGGATCCAGATCAGTTTCCCCCGCGCATCACATTTATGGGGCATTGTTAGATAACAAAAAAAAATTATCAATATGCCGAATGAAAAATTGAAAACATCCAATAAAGAAATGAAAATTGTTTACTTGTTTACAAAAATTGTTACCTTCATCTATTAGACTACAGAGAGATTTCAAACTCTGAACAAGCAATGTAGATTTTTTTCTGTCATCTGGTCTAGGCCTTACATCAATTCGGACTTAATAAACAGTCAAGAATATAAAGTTAAAGAAATCGTACTTCTAATCCAAATAATCTTAGTAAAAAATGAAGACGAGTTTATTGATAAGTTCCGCCACTCGTCGTCTGTTCGACGTCATCTAATAACAAATGATCTGCCCTGATCTTCTGAATAGCATTTACGCTAAGGAATTTGAAGAAAATTTCCCCCAGATACCCATCTGTTTTTGTTTCTTTCTTACTTAGCAAGTTAGCTCTCGTCAAAAACTCTCTATAAGCTACCATAGGAAAGGATCTTCTTAAAGACTGTCTAATCATTTAATTCGAACCAGATCTAGCGAAGAAAGTTAATTACGATGTTGTAACAATTTTACTGCTAGAAAAGCTTGTAAATTCTTTGTATAGCATCAGAAAAACTTCATACTAAATCCAGAAATGTTTTTTTTCTTGTTGAGCTTAAATGTTTGATTCGTGTTGTGTTTAAATGTTTGACTCGTGTATTGTCTTAAATACAGAATTCTTTAAATATTTTGTGAATACTATAAATAATAGCTTTATTTTCTTATTATATTGGTGGTGGTTAGGGGGCGAGTCATTCAGTAAATTTTTTTTATAATTTACCCCGGGCATCACGAAGTCTATATGCGTCCCTGTATATATATATATATATATATATATATATATATATATATATATATATATATATATATATATATATATATATATATATATATATATATATATATATATATATATATATATATATATATATATATATATATATATATATATATATATATATATATATATATATATATATATATATATACGGGCCGGCGCGAGTAGGGGTCACGTGGGGGGTGCCATTACAACTTTTGCCGTCTTAAAAAAAAAAAAAAAAAAAAAAAAAAAGTCCTCGTTTTTTAAAATTTACACCCCCCTATCGCGCCGGCCTTATATATATATATATATATATATATATATATATATATATATATATATATATATATATATATATATATATATATATATATATATATATATATATATATATATATATATATATATATATATATATATATAATAATAATAATATATATATATATAGAGATATATAGATATATATATATATATATATATATATATAATAATATATATATATATATATATATATATATATATATATATATATATATATATATATATATATATATATATATATATATATATATATATATATATTATTATTATTATTATAATTTTTATTATTATAATACCAATAATTATTATTATTATTGTTATTTTTGTAAACTAATCTTTTAAGATATTTTTATAAAACTTACTCCTTCCTTCATAATGTTATTAAAAATTAAGGTTTCCAAATATTACTTTTAAGGACCAAACAACACATTAATTTTTAACGGAGTAAACATAACGCAAAATAAAATTCTATAAAAATTATTTTTATAGATTTATTATGTATATAATTATAATTTATATGTGGTGTAATTTGAACATGACGTTACAAGCTTGTTTAGCAGCATATGTCACCACAAGTCATTTGTTTAAGATATAAGAAAAAAACTTTAACTAAAGTTTTTTTCTTATATCTTATAAACTATTTTCATAGTTACGATTTCATTACATTGTTAGAAACATTTAATTTTTTTCTCTGTTTTCATAAAAACGGGTAACAAGATAACCTTCAAACAATAATGTTAACACATTTTGTGACAATTGAAATTGAAAACTTTTTTAACATTTAAACATGAAGTTCGAAATATTAAAGATTTAGTTGATATATATTTAAAATATTTATTTTTTGTAAAAGTTATTTTGGCTAAAAACATTTAAAACTCAATATGTGAGCTGCGTGTTTATGATGGAGGGAAAAAGTTTTAGATTTTGTTTTATTAGAGTGTTGCTTTGGGTGACCAGACGTCCAGGTTTTCCGAGATTGTCCCGGTTTTAGGTACGCGGCGTCCTAAAAAAAGGTCATTGGGACAGTCAATTGTCCCGGTTATGAAACAGTTATGCTCTTGAAAAATCAAAAAATTATTTTTTTAATTTCTATTCACCAACGCATTAGCTGTTTTTGCCAGCACATTGGTCAGCGTAACTGTACAAACCCGGTGTAAAAGATAAATTCGTATACGAACTAGTCTACAAAAGATTATTACAATAACATTTTAAAACTTTGAATTTTATCACGCAAATTCTAATTTAAATTGGCTAAACCAGTGAGAAGTTTTTTAATAAAAAGACTTCATATACGTATTTGATTATTATGTATGCATTTTTTTATATTCTTTAAATGAACATTTATTTAATATTAAACTGCCAATCATTAACGAACATTACTTGATTTTAACCAAACTTGAACTTCTTTTTAATTTGTGTTTCTTTCGTTTTTAACTTCTAACCATCTTAATTACTTAAATGTAGCTAAAATGGAAAATTTATGTTTATTATTTTTACCTTATAAATCATACTAAGTTAAATGAATAATATAGATTTTTTTTTTCCAGAAATAATCAGCATAAACCTTGTAATTGTAAACATTTATCAAGACTTGCATTAATCATGTCTTCGCTAAAAAACGCGTTAAAAAAATATAATAGTATTGCTAAGTCACAATAAAAATAACTATTTTTATCACACATTCCGAAAAACAGATGAGCTTAGCTTAGTAAACAAAATATTATAAATTAAATCCTTTATAATATTCAAGGACAACCATTACAACTGTCTCCAGAGACGATTGAACTTCCCTGTTGTCTTATACTGACCCGAATTACCCAAAATTTTAGGCTCTTTTTTGAAGCGTTTTAAGGCCCCTTTAGTTCGGGTTTTCCGAGATCACCGATCTAGTAATTTTTACCAGTCTTTACCGTATTTTTTTATTTCTATTTTCGCGTCTTGGTTTTGTTTTTTTAAAACATGGTCATCTTAGTGGTTTAAAATGTTATTAACTTATAATTATAAATGAATTGAAATTCTAGACGGTCGATTAATTTATGGTATTATTTCATTTTCGAATAAATCGTTTAAAAATCCTTTTTTTTTTTTTTTTTTTGTTCTTTTCTACATTTTAAAACATCACGTTAATATTTCATAAAATTTACAAGCTAAAATAAAAAATATAAACAATTACAAGTGAAGATACTTAATATATTTATAAAAAGAACACGGAAACTCGAAGAAGACCGTATGGTCTTGTCGTCGAGTACCGCTGTAATAAGACGTTGTTACATTTTTACAAGTTAAATATTTTACGTAGTAAATAAAAAAGTTAATGTTTTGCAATAATAAAAGAATAACAAGAATTACGTCAACAATTTTTTAGAAATTTTTACCTCCCCCCACCTCCCCCTTATCAACAACTTGTTAAACTTTCAGTGACTCCCCTATGAAATTACGTCAACATTTGATAACCCCTCCCCCCCCAAAAAAAAAAAAAAATAAAATAATAATAATAATAATAATAATAAATATTATTAATAATAATAATAATAATAAAAAATATTAATAATAATAATAATAAAAAAAAATTATGATGGAAAAAAAAAATGTTTTAAATTAACTATTTTACAAGTGAAACAAAAAAGTGGTTCAAAGTAAATGTTTAGAAGACAAAAAATTATTCAAATTTTAACTTATGAACATATTTCAAATGAATATAATCATTTAAAATTACAAATTCTCCTTACTTTAACATTAGACCTAATGCAAATTTACAGTGAAATCCATTGAGTCTAGAATAACAAAAAAAGCATTTAACAAATTGAATCAACCAGGGATTGGCAACCTTTTGAGACGGATAAGCCAAAAGTTACAAATACTATGTTTTTAATTTTTTAAAGAGCTATCAACATCTTTATTTTATTATTATATTTAGGGATGCGGAGTCCCGAAAAGGACTCCGGATTTGAATGTCACAAAAAGATTACTTTTTCCTAGTTTTTGGTATCCAGGAGCTTTGGTAATATAAAAACGGTTATGGGTTATTATTGCTAAAAAAGTTAAGATATTTAGGTTTGAGGAACAATCTCTTTTTGAACCCGGAGTCCTTAGGTATAATGGTGGCTAGGACTCTGGGACTCCGGGCTTAAAAACAATATTTTTCAAGTCATTATATTTCATAAGTTTTTTTTTTTTTAGCAGATCATAAATCAAACAAAATGTTCAGAGCTTTTGGACACCACCCAGTAAGCACATGAACGTTTTTAAAACGTTTTTTTAACTAAGAAAAAAAACGTTTTTTAAACGTTCTGAATGGCAATACCTAAAAAACGTTTTTAAAAAAGCGTTTAAAAAACGTTCTAAAAAAGTTGTTTAAAAAACGTTCTAAAAAAACGTTTAAAAAACGTTCTCAAATAACCTAAATTAAACAATAAAAAAACGTCTTTTAAACTTTTAAAAGACGTTATTTTTTAGAAAATATTCCTAAATCCATAGGTACTATTATTAAATTGTTTTTAAAAGAACCTGTTGGTTTAAAAAACAAGAAAAATAAAAAATTTATTTAAAAGTTATTTTTAAATTTATTTTTTAAAACAATTTACAAACAAAGTAATATTATAACGATGATATCTGTTGGATTTAAGGCACTTTAAGACAAGCAAAAGTTGCCCGCTTTCACGAATCAGCAATTATTGCATCGACAATCGACTCTGTGTATAATTCGTGAGAAGTCGATGCACAAACTAAAAGAAAAAACTATATATTTAAAATAGACAATCTGAACAGCAATAATAGTATTATAGTATAATAATAATATATAGTATAATAATAATAGTAATAAGTTTTTAAATTACAAATATATGTTTTAAAAAAATATATATAACTTCAAATTGCATATATATATATATATATATATATATATATATATATATATATACATATATATATATATATATACATATATATATATATATATATATATATATAATATATATATATATATATATATATATATATATATATATATATATATATATGTATACACATTTTTGGCACAATATAAATAAAACAGCATCACATTGAAATAAAAATGACTTTGCATTGTCAGTAATAAGCGCCACTAATAAAACATAAGAAATTCTGACTAAAAGACTTGTATTTTGTATGCCCTCCATGCGCATCAAGCATGGCCTGTACAAGTCTTGGCATAGATTGTACCAGCTTTTGGATGGTGTCAACAGGGATTGCTAGCCATGCAGCTTGCAAATGTTGCCACAAATCATCCAGATTGCTGGGTTTGGTTTTCTGCACTTTTCTGAAGAGCTCCTCCTACAAATTTTCAATGGGGTTCAGGTCAGGATTTTGTGGAGGCTATTCAATAGCATTGGTACGAGCATGTTTGAGATATTTTATTACTTTCTTAGCTTTGTAGCAAGGAGCATTGTCTTGTTGAAAGAAAAATGGTTTGTTTTTACCAAACAGTTTGTTTGCTGATGGTTTCATTTGTGCTTTTAATATTTCCAAATATTTATCCTGGTTTACCGTGCCTGTACAACAATATAAATGACCTACACCTGATCCTGACATGCAACCCCATACCATAAAAGAGCCTCCTCCATGCTTTACTGTATGAGAGGACTAAATCATTCACTAACACACAGGAGACTAAATCATTCACCTACTATTCTCATAACATATGCTCTTTTAGCTCCACAGATAACAGTAAAGGTACTTTCATCACTCCATAGCATTTTATTCCATTATACGACAGTCCAGGTTTTGTCCAACTTCGCGAATACTCTTTTTTTCGCAATGTTATCAGGTCGCAATAAAGGCTTCTTCGCAGCAATTCTCCCATTCAAACCACCTTGCTGCAGGTATTTTTTAACTGTGCTTGCTGTCAGATAAACTTCATGGTTTTTCTCCATGTAGGATCTCAAGCCGTGGCGAAACGATTGGACTAACTCGCCCGAACCTAAAGCCGATTCTGCTTTGCAGTAGTTTTATGAGATGGGTATACAATGGAAAAGCACTAAGTCCATTTTTAACAGTATGGAGTTATTTATACCACTATTTAGTATTTGATATACCACACTAATTTAATAAACCGATTATTAAAGTATTATTAAGATTAATTTCAACTATTACACAAAAACTTATCGGCTCATTATCTCAATAAACAAATAAATAAATAAATAAATATATATATATATATATATATATATATATATATATATATATATATATATATATATATATATATATATATATATATATATATATATTTAAACAATTAAAAATGTATTCTACAAAAAGAGTGCTCAATGTTCTTAAAAGAATAGAGCAATTACAAATTAGTAGAAAATCACTTGGCAAAATTTTTTCTTATTTAACAGTGTTACATCAATAATAACTCATCAGAAATCTATATATATATATATATATATATATATATATATATATATATATATATATATATATATATATATATATATATATATATATATATATATATATATAAATATATATATATATATATATAAATATATATATATAAATATATATATACATATATATATATATATATATATATATATATATATATATATATATATATATATATATATATATATATATATATATATATATTTATATATATATATAGATTTAACATATATATATAGATTTAACATATATATATATATATATATATATATATATATATATATATATATATATATATATATATATATATATTTATATATATATATAGATTTAACATATATATATAGATTTAACATATATATATATATATATATATATATATATATATATATATATATATATATATATATATATATATATATATATATATATATATATATATATATATATATATATATATATATATATATATATATATATATATATATATATTAGAGTATAGTGATTTTCATAACAAAAAAAATTAAAAAATAAATTTTCCTGAGTCACAAATCGATGTCTATTATTCATAAGAACAAAGTAAAAAAAAATGTTTTTTGATTTTGATGATATCTTGAGGTTCCTCTTTGGGTTCTAAATTCTTGACTGGTCCTAATGTTTTTGATTTTTTTTTCTAAATCATATCAACCTGGGACTCAAAAAAAAAAACTGCTTGTTTTATAATTAATTATTGCCCTTTGGCAATCACTAGCCATATTATATATACATACATATATATATATATATATATATATATATATATATATATATATATATATATATATATATATATATATATATAGTGCTTGAAGAGGAGAAAAATAGGAAACAGGTTAGTATTCGCTAAATTAGAAATACAATCCCGCCTAATAATTGTTATATAGATTTATATATATATATATATATATATATATATATATATATATATATATATAAACGTAGATTTGGCTATGAGTGAATTTGTCATAAAACTAAAAATAATTTATTTTAATAATATTATATCTCATAATTTATGAAATTATAATTAACTACTGTATTTAAAATTTTTTTCTTTTTTTTCCATAAAATCTAAATGTAATTAAACATTTAGATTTTAATTTAACAATACAGTTAATCTATTAATTAAATCTAATCTATTATTTAAAAAATAGCACACTAACCATTAATCCAAAGTTTAAAGCTATAGGATAACCTATAGCCTTAAACTTGCAGACTGGAAAAAGTGTAAATTGGCATTAGTGCGCCAAACAGGTTAGCAAACATTACAAATAGGCATAAGTGCAAAATTTGATTAAGTACAAAACAGTTACAAAAACAGGCAGAAGTGTGAACTGACATAAGTGCATGTAATAAATTTGCAGTTTGGAATTATGCTAAATTTTGCAAATTTATTTGGCACACTTATGCCAGTTCGCATTTATGTTGTTTGCGCTTTTGCGAGTTTTTGCAACTGCTTCACACTTATACCAGTTCCCACTTATGGAAATTCACACTTATGCGAATGTTTGTAAATCTATTTAGCCCACTTATGCCAATTTACACATATGGCAGTTTGCACTTATAGCAGTTTGCAATTATTCCAATGTTTGGAATTCTTTTTGTGCAGTTATGCCCATTTGCACTAATGCCATTTGGCATTGTGTCAGTTTTTGTAACTGCTTTGCACATGTGCTAGTTTGCGCGTATGAAATTCACGGTTATTCAGTCATCCCACTATGGTAAAACGGCTAACGTAGAGCCATGCATGGGATTTGTATTATGGATTGTAAGATGGGGGTAAAATCATTATAAAACTAAACAGAGTATTTATAGGAATGCACTTTTAATTTACTAACCTCTTCATCATAGCTATCTCAAGTTTTGACAGTTCTTACCACCAATATTTTGAACTCTTTGTTTCTAATAGAAAGATATAATGGAAATCTGACAATTCCTAATTAAGTAGTAAAAATTATATATTGTAAAGAAAATTAAAAAAAAAAAAGAAAAATCTGTCAAATCAGTATTTAGCAATTTACAACTGCAGGGGTACTACAGAGTCACTAGATGAAACTTTGTCAAGTGCTGAGTCAAAATTATCAAATTCTATTTTGCTGTTCATTTTAGTTACTACTTCTTCTTCACACTATTTTATATTAAGTTTTTTGCATCCTTGGGTTTTTATCTCATTTAAGAGAAGCAACACACAATATTGAAAGTGTAAACAAATTTACACATTAAATTTTGCATAGTCAAAACTAAACTATGTAAATAAATAAATTTAAAATACATAAATTTAACAATTTAACAACTTTACTGGTCTAACCCTAAATCAGAGAAAAACTAATAGACAGTGAAATACCTAATAGTGGCAATGCTATATTATATATATTAGCGTTTTTCTCAGATTTCGGGTTAGACAAGAAAGATTGTTCCATAGATTTATAGTTTTTATAATATTGAAATATTGGATTTGATGAAGATTATTTAAAGTTAAAATTGGAACCTCGTCATTTTAGTGATGTTTTTTAATATTGACAGTCATGTTAGCATTTTACAACAAACATTACATTATTATATTTAACTAAAGACTTACTTGCTTGAGATAATGGAAATCCATAATGTTTATCCTTTTTATTTAAAGATGATGAAGATTGATGTGTCTTAAAATGAATCTCTTGGTCATCTTTGTTTTTTATTTTTTGACCTACACAACACAAACGTAGAAAATATTTAAATTTCATCTAACAACTTGTCTTCTTATGTAGCAATTTTACAATTAAAAAATTTTTACAAATTACTTTACAGATTATTAACTTTATAAGTAAAATAGGGTATATAGTATGGTATATAATATTATAGGTTTCATACTGCTAAACATTTGGTAATAACACCAGAATATCATTAAAGAATAAAAATTTTAAAATGACACTTTGAAGTGAGTCACTTTCTTTCTTGAAACAAATCATCGTATTTTTTCCTTTCAGCCTTTTTAACTATAGTAATTTATTTATAAAAACCACTGATATTATTATTTTTAATTTTTAGAGTTTAAGAAGAAAAACTCTGAGAATGTTGTTCCCTTTTCTCAAATCCAAATAAGATTTTTGCGTTAAAAGCAGTTGATAAATAAGTAGAATTAAAAACTTAATCTAGTTTTTTTAAGCATTCAAGTTTACTCAACAATTAAGTTATTTAATAGAGTAAAATAATCTAGCTAACCACACCATTAAAACTTTCTTAAACATATCTACTTGATTCAAATAGAAATACAAACACAACCTAGTTTCAACGAAGGCATACAACTTTAAACTAAAAATACTCCAATATATTTTCAAATTTAATTCTACAAGAAAAGAATACAAACACTTGGTTGATTTAAATATATACTAATTTATATAATTTTTATTTAAATAAATTTTATTTAAATTAATTCGCCTTATCGACGAACGACTATTTCCTGAGATCGATCCCTGTTTTGATTGGTTAAAAATTTTGAGTTTCGCAGAGTCCGATTTTGAAACATCTCGTTAGCCGGACTCTAAGACTTGAGGAAATTTTTAACGCATGCATTGTTTTAGTAGGTTTAAATTCTAAACCTTGTTTTAAATTTAAAAACAACGCGCGTTCTTCTAATAGCAACTAGTTAGGTGAACTTAGAACTTGTTTATTAAATTTGAAAAATAATAAATACAATGGTGAGTTTTTCTATTAATTATAATAATTCTTATATGATGAAAAATAATTATAAAAATTCTTTTATAACAAAATCTTATATTTACCTTCATTCAAAATAAATATAATTATATTTATTTTTGAATGAAGGTAAATATAAGATTTCTATATATTGTAAGGAAATTATATATTATAATATATTATATATTATAATATATATATATATATATATATATATATATATATATATATATATATATATATATATATATATATATATATATATATATATATATATATATATATATATATATATATATATATATATATATATATATATATATATATATATATATATATATATATATATATATATATGTATATATATAAGGTAATATATTAAAAGGTTATAATATATATTATAAGGTAATATATATATAAGGTAATATACTATAATATATTTTAAGGTAAATATAAAATATAAGATTCTATAACCTTATATGAGGTTATAAAAGTCCATATTTACATTTACATTAAGATGTATAAAAATTTATAGATTTAAAAAGTTATAGATCTATAACTTTTTAAATTTTAAAATTTTAAATTTGACATCATAAAAATAAGATCATCAATGACATCACAAATATAAGATCTATCTTATATTTGTGTCATATCAATGACATCACAAATATAAGATCTATCTTATATTTGTGATGTCATTATAATTTATAATGACATCACATTTATAATAAATATATCTATAATCATATTCATAATATTGATAATAATAAGAAGAAATGAATGTTTATCATTTATACATTTTTGTTGTATTTATACTGTTATATTCTATAATATTGATATAAGGTAGGATGTATGAATATTAATTATAAATTTTATTCTATATTGATTATATCTGTATAGAAATAAAATCTTTCATAGATAGTATGCATACATAACTAAAACAAAATATGTTATATTGATCAAAATGTTGTCTACTTAACTCATTAATAAATGTCAGTTCATGTGATTAGAAATTTTAGTACAACATTAGCAATCTTTAGCATGCACCAAAAGTAGATTATTAAAATTATTTATACTGCAGACCTAGAAGGTTTTTGACTTAGAACAGACGGAAAATATGCATATATAATTGCTACCTACTTTTGTTGCATGCTAAAATTTTGATCACCAACTGTTTATGTTATAGTTGTCTAAAATAAAATCAGCTTTATTATTCTATTAAATTAGTATTAAAAAGTAAGGTATAGTTAGTAATTATTGAAAAGATAATTTTAACACGGCTCTCATTTTTTATTACCTTTTCTCATTTCTACTAACTGTAATTATTATGTATAAAATTCAACACTTAATCATTATTCCTAACAACTAAGCGTTAAACAATTGAAAATTGCATATATATATATATATATATACATATATATATATATATATATATATATATATATATATATATATATATATATATATATATATATATATATATATATATATATATATATATATATAAGTATAAGTTGTTGCTTACGTTTTAAAATTATATGTTCAATAAATTAATAAAATATAATTTTTTTTTTAGTGTTTCTATAATAATTACTGAGGTATCATACGTAAGTTTTTTAAACAAAAATAGCTGTTTTAAGATTCAAGGGTTGCTCAGACAATTTTGTACTTAAAAAAAAACATAAAAAACATTTTCATGCCAGCTAAGTTATTCAAAATTGGCAAGACAATATAAATGTTGTAAACTAGTATTGATTTAACATGTTGCAAACTTATTACTATTTTTAAATTATAATTTTTTTAAAAAACTTGTAGATAAGATAGATAAGAATGATTTCGATTCTTATCTATATGGCTTGTAAAGTGCATATTTAAAAATCTGTCTCATTAAATGAGAGAACATGTTGTAAACTTGTATACACTTACTAATATGCATTTAATGTTGTAAACTTGTTTGCAATAACTAAAAACAAAGCCAAATTTAAGACTGGAGTGTCTAGTAAATTTTGACAGTATTTTTTACTTGACAGCTGCCCATTTTCTTTCTGTGAATAAGTAGTAGCAATTTGAATTTACTGTGTTTTGCTTGTGGCCTTGAGCTAACTACCCAGAGGTGTACTGAGGGGTGTTCGCCCAGTAGGAAATCACGGTCACCGGCCCAAATAGAGGTGGCCTGAAGGGTGATTAGCCCCCCAAAAAATAAACACCCCCCCCCCACCCAAAAAAAATCATAAATAAATATAATTAATTGTTATAAGGTACCTATAAATAGCATGTACAATTTAATTTAATTAGGTTAAATACGTACTCTGGTATGTGTTATGTTACATACTGATACTATGGGTCTAGTTTCAACATTAAAAAACATGATAATCAACAATTAGACTCAAAACAATTTTTTTCATATAATATAATTCATAGATAGAGATAGGTGGCAAAGTTTAGTAATGTCAGCAAAATCTCGCAGTTGACTTCGGTGACTGACAAAGTAAGAAAAAACTCATATGAAGCACAAGTATAAGCCGAAACATGCATGTTTAAATTGTATACAAGTTTGTATACACATTGTAAACAATTGTTAGTATCATGTATGCTGTTTTTGTTGTTGCCTAAAATGCAACATAAAGTTCAGTCAAAATAATATTTTAAATTATATATAGAACAATATATAAGCACAATTTTACTCACAAGAAAATGCTGCATCATAATTCATATTTTCTTCATCATTATCTGTGTTTTCATCTGAATCAGTATCAAATTGATGGTATATTTGTTTAGTTCTTTCTGTTGTAGACATTTTTAACTTGGGATACATTTTAGAAAAATTATTTAGTTCTAAGCAAAGTTGTATGTGATCTAAATTTGCTAAATTGGCCAAGTGTTTTAAAGCTGTGTTTGGCATTTGTTCAATTTGTTTAAATTTTTTAGGTATCAAGTAATTGTTGTCGGTAAAGCGTTCATTTAAACTATTATTAATGTGATCAACTATTGATTGATAAGTTTCAACTCTGAACTTGTCTAATGGTAACTCTGGTGTTTTGTCTGCACATAGCTCATCATACATTCTTTTTTTTCTGCTTTGCCTAGTAATAGGTAAAGTACTTGGTACTAATAAATCATCCGGAAGATTCATACTATTAAGTAAGTCATTCATATTGTTAGAAAAATGTACAGAATTTTCTAAAATATTGGCAAAGGTTAAATGTCTAATTTCTTGTTTAACAGAATCTACCATACTCCAAGCTGATAATAAATCCATACCTCTTATCTGAAGATAACGTTTCGTTGGCCCAATAATTTTAAAGATATTCAAAAATATATGAAAATTATTTTAAAATTGCATAAATTATCTAATAAAGAAGATGCTTCTGAACAAACTTTAGGTTCAAAATTTCTAGAAATAGAAATATGATGCAAAGCACTTACAACTGTAGGAAAAAGACATTTATCACCATCAAAAATCCAAAACAGTGCTTTTTCTCGCGACCACCATCGCGTATGGTTTTCTCCTATTTTTTGAAGATTTTTCAATTTATTTGACCCCAAACTTGAATCAATTTCACTTAACCATATGTGCATACGTTTATAAGAATCACTAAAAAATGTTGATAATCGATTCAAAAATCCAAACAGTTTTTTAGCTTCTACGCCTTTACAAGTATCACATACACATAAGTTAAGCACATGACTATAGCACCATATATAAACACTTTTTTGATTTTCTTGACTTTTAATTTTAGATTGTAGTCCTGAATACTCCCCTCTCATATTAGCTGCTCCATCAAATGATTCACCAATAATATGATTAAAATTAATGGAATGTTCAGAAAAAAGTTTTTTTAACATATCATAGTAGCCATTTCCTGATGAATCGACAACTTTTAATAAAGCAAATAACCTTTCTTTTACTTCTCCTTCATAAATGTACCGGATGCATACT